ATCAGTACTGGGGATCGAACTCATGACTGCCTGCTTGCAAGGCAGATGATTATGCCGCTGAGCTAACCCAGCCCCTACCAGCTGTATCTTTTTAATAATTAACATGGAATAAATAACTGTTGATCAAACTATATGCACACTTTAGACCCATGGCCAATGTTACCTTAATGAAACTATAAAAGAACTCCCCTGAGAATTAGCATGCTTTATGTCATTAATATTTAACATCATTCAGAATTTCTGGCTGAAGTATTAACATGGAAATAATCTTAGGAAAGAGAAACAGTGTTTCTCTGTTGTAAACAGTGTATCAGTACTTAACTACAAAACCTAGAGAGTGGGTTGAAAGTATTTTGAGTAGTTGAAACAGTGTTGCAAGGTGAACAGATACAAGGCAAAAGCAGATCCAACTGGAAGGCTCCTGTCTGATAAGGAACAGTTGTGAAGAGAAAGCTATTAACTGATGATGAAAATGTTCTCTAGGAGAATTAGCTTGGGTGCTTTTGGCTGCAGTTTGTCCGCCAGCCTAACCAACAAGACTTATCTATACAGTAAGAGTGACAAAGACCTGTGTTTCTGGCTTTCCCTCAGGTCTGGGCAGCATCTTCTGGAACCATGGCTCCTCCCTTTACCCATGCTGCCCTGCCTTATCCCTCTTTGGTTCCCTGTGCTTTCTGTCTCAGGTCTGCCTGGCTCTCCCAGTCTACCGGGACTGAAGAAGGAGATAGCCTTGCACAGTGTGAAATGTATGTGTGCTCTGGATTTTGGAGCTGGACATGAAAGTTGGTAATGGGAATGCCATGGTATAAAAAGCAGTGTGAGGGACAGGATGTATGTGAGATTCTTGTTTGTCAAGAAAATACTGTTAGGCAAGCATTTATTTGTTTGTTTGGTTTTGCAGCACTGAGCCCCGTGCTGTATTCCCAGCCCTTTTTATTTATTTCACTTGTATTTTGAGTGGGGTCTTGCTGCTTCTCTGGCTGGCTCTTGCTTTCCCTCCACTTTCTGCCTCCGTTTCCAGGGACCTCTTTTGGCAGCGAGTACGAGTGAGATCTGTTAAGGGTTCTATCTCCATGTCCCCCAAAGCTTCTCACAGCCATAGGTGGGGCCTTTGAAGAGGTAGCTGAATTTGAGTGTCTAATGATTTATGCTGTAGTGCCAAGGAGTAAGACTGGGTGATTACTAAATCAGTCCTCTGATTGGTTTGGCACTGCTGTAATCTTGGTAGCCTGGATACAATACAACGGGCAGAAAGAGGCTTGTCTTGTCTCTTGCTTGCTTTGCCACCCTCTGCCCACCATGAACTGTTTCTCCTCTGCAGCTTCTCTGCTGGGCCACCCTGTGTTGGAGCTAGCTTGTTAGGAACCAAAATCTCTACAAATTGTGATCTAAACAAACCTTTCTCCCTTTAACTTTAGATGTCAGATATTTTGTCTCATCAATGAGAGAGAAATGGCTAAGACTTTTCTCTCATTGCTGAGACAGAGGTTTTCTGTTTGCATGTTGTTTTATTTCTTGACTTTTTTTTTGCATATGGAAAGGCCTGTTCTCATCCTGAGTCTTTGCTCACTGCTTTGGTTTCGAGGCCTATGTTTGTCCTGTTCTGCTCTGTGTTTCTGATCCAAACCACACTGCTGTTTGTCTTTAAGAATGAGTCAACTGGGCAGAGTCATGTAAAATCTTTCAGGTTTTGCTTATTTGTGATATGGAGCTAAAATGGAGCTTACGGTTTTGATTCAGAGTCACAGTGCCATAGAATCATGTGAGTCTCTGAAGTTAGAGCCATGCACTTGGCCTTGCTTCCTGCCTCGACTTCCCCAAATGAAAATGGACTCTCAACCTGGTTACACAGGTGTTTGGTTTTCCACCTCTGTGAGGCCTGAATAGTGACTCAGTCAGCATCTTGTGGAGCTCTGCTTTTGGCCAGGTGAGCAGAAGTCTGGGCCATGCATGTCTCTGAGAGCCACTGCTTCACTTGGCAGGCTGTATCCTGGCTTGTGGCTTCCGTCCTGTGGGGCCGTGGCTACCCACTGTGTGGGGACAGCACCTTCCCTGCTGCCCTTCTCTTTAGCCCACCCTTTCCAGCACATTTCCTCCCTATGGTCACATTTTTTTTCACCAAAAGATGCATGTTTTTGACAAATGCGTGATGCAGCCTCCTCCTCTCTATTGTTCCCTTTATGTTCTAATGCCTCTCTGCACCAGATTTAGTGGTATACACCTGTAATGCCTGCTCTCTGAGATCAAAAAATAAAGAACAGCTAGGATGTGGCTCCCTGGGAAGGCCCTGGGCTTAACCCCCGTACTCTGCTCCCCCAGGCCTCTCCACCTTCATGTTCAAATATCTTAATGCCATGCTGCCAGCTCCTAGCAGACTTCATGCATCATATTGCAGGGTAGATGTGAGTGGCCATACCTGGGTGCCCTCTGGACACACCTGAGCTGCATCCTATCCCAGGGAGTTGACCTGCGCTGGTCCTCAGGAGCGGGGGCTTGGCCAGATGTCAGCCAGGTCCTCTTGTTCCAGCAGAAGTGTGCCTGATGCACTAGAGACAGAGCCTAAAGCCAAATCACCATCCCTCCTTCTTCAGTCAGAGAATGCCTGCCAGGAGCCAGGTACTGTTCAACTCCCAAAAGACACCAAGATGAATCCTCTCCTCTGTTCATGTGCAGAAAGCTCAGAACACATCACACAAAGCTGAGCAAGGTGGCACAGCCTGCAATTCTAGCACTCTGGGAGGCTGAGGCAAGAGAATCACAATATCAAACCCAGCCTGGGTTAGCCACTTCAGGAGCTCCCGTCTCAAAGTAAAAAATAAAAATAGGGCTGGGGATATAGCTTATTTGAAAGACCCTGGGTTCAATCCCTAGCATAAGTAATAATCAAATAATTTTGACCTCATCCCACACTGTGCTGAGTGCAGTGTAGCCAGCACACATGTGTCTCTCTGGGTGCCAAGTCCTGGGACCCTGCTTCCACTGTAATGTGTCCCCACATTACAGTGAGATGCTGAATGTGCTCCCAATTTCCACCTCACTGCTGCCTCACTGCATCTGTTGGTCACCACCTGACCCCTCGTCTACTCTTGAGTTGCTTCTTGCCTGCTTCCCTGGGGCCAGCATTTGCTGCTGAAACTACTGGAAAAGGAGCACAGGAGCCCAGACACCACAGTGCAGACCTGCAGTGCTCCTCTGACAGCCGTCTGCCCTCGAAGCGTGCCCGGCCTTCTCCCAACTTTAGTTTCTCCCTGTCCCTGACACCAAGACATATAGCCTTGCTCCCACTGTTGGCCCTTACGAGCCACCTTTTTATTCTCCTTGTCTACCTTAAATGTGCTCTGCTTCTTCTGCTTTGAGTGTGGGCTGTTTTTGCAGCTTTCTCCCCAGCTGTCACCCTGGCCCCTCTGCACCACTGCCCAATGCTCATGGCTCTGAGACAGTGCTGCCTCGGCCCTCCTGCATCCAGTGCAGATCTGGAAATTTCATCTCCCTGCCCATCTCCTGTCCTGGCCACCTCCCTGGAGAGCAGAAACCAGGGCTCCTCTTTCTAGGTCCTGCCTCCACCCTGGTGTACCCACACCAGGTCAGCCAGGCTCAGTCCTTGGCTACATCTCCCCACTAACCCTCTGCTGCTCTCCATTTCCTCTCTGATATTCACAGTCACTCATTCTCTCCTGCCTGCACTGTTTTGATGGCCTGCTTTAAAAACTTGTTAACTTTTTACTTGTGTAAGACAGTAGGGATCCAGATATGAATAACTCCCAATCTCAGTCCTTGAGAAACTCGTGGCCCTGGCTGGTGGCATACTAGGGACACAGTTGCAGAGACCAGCAACAGTGCCATCTGAGAGTCACACGGGCGCAGGGGGGCAGGTGTTGACACCCTGGGGCACCGTGGGCTGTGAAGGCCTTTCTCCTGGCATGCCATGAGTTCTCATAATCTGATGCGCGTGGTTTAGAGATGCAGAATGCCTGAGTGGTGTCTGTCAGGAGTGAGATCATTATTCAGCTAAAGAATCAGAGGGGGATTTGCAGAGCAAAACAGAACCCAGCCCCCACACCACGCTGCCCAAGGCAGCTTCTCTGGTACACACATACCTCACTCAGGTGTGGGTCTGCACAGAAGCACCCAGCCAAGGCACTGGCAGACCTGTGGTTGAGACAACCAAAATACCAGATCTGAGGAGTGCGCTGTAAAGAAACCTGGAGAGAGAGCCAGTGTGGAGCTCTGGCTCCTGTTACCTTCACCACCACTTTCCCAGGGTCCTACAGCTATGGCCTCAGCCTGCACCCCAGGTCCCCGCCTGTAGAAGAGGCTCTCTGGCAGCCTCTTGGACCCAGCGTGTGGCTGCCAGGACCTCTCTGTCTGGGACCTTGGCGCTCCCTGGCCTGACTGGATGCCAAGCCCACGTTAGCAATGATGATGTCCTCCATGCTCTGTGCTCCAGGGTGTTTGAGCTGGCTGGTGACTGGGCCTGGGGTAGGAACCAGCCTATTCTCCCAGCTCTGCCCACTGCAGGTGGCATGTGACTGTCCTGACTGTGGCTGTTGAGCTCTGCTCTAGCTGCCTGTAAAGACAGCTCACCGTGGCAGTCCAGTCTATGATCAGTGCAGCCAGTGTCTCCACCCAGTGCCACCTGCACCATGCTCCATGTGGTTTGTCCCCATGGTGTGGATCCCATACCAGTGAGGGTGGAGCCCATCATTGTTCTTACTTGGCCTGTATGCTGGTCCCACTCAGCTTTCTGGACATACTGGGTTCCCCTTGTATTCTTGTTTCTGTGTTACAGTCCTGGGGATTGAACCCAGGCCTTCATGGTGAGTTACATCCCCAGCCGTTTGGAGTCTCTGTAAAGTTGCCCAAGCTGGGTTGGAGCCTGTGATCTCCTGCCTCAGTCTTCCAGAGTCCTTGATGTATGTTCACTCAGTAAGTGACTCGGTAAAGCCCAGGGTGCTATGAGTGTGCCATTTGTGCTCACACATTGTCCTCTTACCTTCCAGGAGCCCAGCAACTGGGGCCGCCCTACTACACTGACCCGGGAGGACCAGGCGTGAATCCTGTTGGGAACATGGCAGTGGCTTTCCAGGTGCAGCCTAACTCTCCCCAGGGCTGCGTGGCTTACCCGCCCCCTCCTTCCTACTGCAGCACACCGCCGCCCCCCTACGAGCAGGTGGTCAAGGACAAGTAGGCCACTGCACAGCCAGGGTGGCCCACAGCGGACTCCTCTCCTCTCCTCAGAGCAAGCACAGCTCCTTCTCGCATTCCTGTGGAGGACGTGTCTGAACCACATTGTGTCTCCTCTGTTGCTTCCGTTTCCAACATGGTCTGAGCTCTCCAGCAGCATAGTGACTGTCCCTGAGGGTGGCAGAGAGACTGAGAGGATGGGAGGATGGAGAGCCAGGCGAGGCAAGCCGAGGCTGCTGCAGCTGGGATCAACCATCATGCCTAGGGACGGCACCTCAACGCTTTTCTGTGCCCATCCACGTCCTGTAGCCAGGCCTCCTCTGCATAGACCAGGGACCCTAGCTTCCATGGCAAGGAGGCTGGGTGGGCCAAGTCAGCGTCTCTGTCTCTTATGACCTGAAGGCCACAAGGAAGCCCTCCGTGCCAGACCTGGACTGTGTCCGGGGGCTCTTGATCTGGCACAGAGAAGCACATTGCCCTCTCAGTGCATCTATGATGGTGCCTGTGCCCTGTCCTGTGCCCCTGGGATCTCAGCCCATGGCTCCTAACACCCTGTCCCCAGGCTGCAGAAGTGGGGGACTGGATGGCCATGGGTTGCCCACAGGAAGTCATGTTGGCCTGAGGAGAGGGGCCAAGGCATAGCCAATGGTGGGAGTCTGTGCAGATCGTGCCTGTGCCCTGGGCAGCTGTGTGGAGAGGGTGGGGGGCTTGCTGAGAAGACAGGGCATGGGTGCAGGTGTGGTGGCTCTGGCCATGTCATTAAAACTATCAGGAAGATGTGGTAAGACACACAGACCCCCACAGAAAACACTCCTCACCCCTGGACCCCGCAGTAGTAGCAGGAATTGCCGACAGGCCAGAGGTTGTCCCCAGTGTAGTTAGTCGTGTGGGTGTGAAGGTAGAGCAGACCGAGCTGGGACCAGGCCATGTGTGATGTGAACAGCATGGCAAAGACACCTTCGCAGAGCGCTCTGTGTGGTGCTGGGAGCGTGACGGGGGTGATTGCTGTTCAGATGGAACTCCTGGGAGTCTCCTTGGAAACTGTCACTTGGTAGCCAGAGGCTCCTGGTTAAAGAGAGAGTTCCATCACCTTAGGTGAGAGGCCACTGTCGTTTTTTGCCAAGGGTAGCACTGAACAGTGTGGACTTGGCGACAGGAACCATGGGCAGCCCCAGGGAATAGCCTGGTGGAGCTGATGCTGCCATCTGGGCCCCAGTGCCCGCCATGTTGAGCTGACCTCTGTCCCCTGCCTGTCCTTGATTCTATTGGATAAAACCACAAAGCACAACATCTGGTGTTTACAACCACAGTCCCATCAGCTCCTTCCTCCAGGGCATTTGTTTTGCATTTTTAATGTCAGTTTCTCCCTTTACTTTTTTAAATAAAGAAGCACAGTGAGAGCTGCCCCTGGTGGTGGACCAGTCACAGCTGAAGCAGGCACCAAAGGCCAGCTGAGCTTTGTTCAACTTCTCTAAAAGACTGAGCCCCAGGGAGGGTGCACATGTTTTATACTCTGTGTGGGAAGCGTTGTCCCCATGGTGCTGGCCCAAGTCCTGTGCCTGTGGTGTCTCCTTTGTGTGTGTAGCCGCCCTGCAAGGCCGGCAGATCGGAGAGGCTCAGACAGATCTGTGCATGCTCTTCCTGGGTCACACGTGGGTCGTGTTGCAGTTTTTGTCCTCTTTTGATAGAGTCCTGTTTCCTATGTATGCAGAATAAAGACAATTTGATCACATCTTTGACTGTTCTTCTGGGAAGCAAATGAGACACAGTGCGGCTCTGGGGCTCTTGGTTGGAAAGGTGTGGGGTCCTGTGCTCAGAGCAAGGGCCACACCCAGGTCTGGCAGTATTGTTCAGGAGTAGAAGACACTTAGTATTCACCAACTTGCCCCAAAGAAAACCATCTGAGAGGAGGTGGGAGGCAGGCCTTGGGTTCACAACTGGAACCAGCATTGGTTAAGAGGGGCGTGGGTCTGCTCGCCTTAAGCAGGTGGCCTTTGCTTTAAAATCCCACTCTAAACAAAGGCCAGGCAGTGGGCATTGGGTCCCAACTGTTGGGGAGGCTGAGGCAGGAGAACTTGATCCCAGGTGGTAGTTCCAGTGTGGGCATTATAGCAAGATTCATCTCAAAAAAGGAAAAACGATCTCCTACATGATCAAACCCTGTTCTTCTCACCAGCACCACTGAAGACTGCAGTTGCTACAGGTAAGTTGTGTGTTAGGTGAACTGCTCAATTGTGGTCACGTTTGTGAAGAAGGATTTTATTCTGTTCTGAAATGCCTGCCTCCCAACCTGGAGCCTCCCTTAAAAGCCTTCAGTGGACCGAGCTGACCCTCCTAGTGTCACCTGGAGATCGCCCTCACCTGCTGGTGTTGGAGCCCTGTGCTCCTGAATGCAAACCCCGAAGTTCTCCGCGAGGCACGCACAGCCCTCCTCAGCCACCCGCAAGGGTCTATGCCACATTCTGCAGCCTCTCCTTCCACGCGTGTTCACCAGCAGCTGGTGCAGTAGACTCCTGAGCTTAGCTTGTGTGGAATGCTGGTCTGTTGCTAGCAGAAGATTTGAAATGGCCCATTTCATGATAAAACTAATGTGGTGCAGGTGCTGTTCAGAGTAACGTAGAGATGTGAAGTGGCCTTAAGACCACAGAAAGCCACCAGGTGTGGTGGCACACAACTGTGGTCCCCAGTGAGTGAGGAGGCTGAGGCAGGACAATCACTTAGGCCTAGGAGTTCAGAGCCAGTTGGAGTGACACAGGAAAACGTGCACTGATACTGTGCAACTGAAACGTGCACTGAAACTGTACAAATGAATAAAAGGCCAGTTTCTAAACACTTCAGCCCTGGCAGTGGGTGGAGCCTGAGGGGCTTATTGAGGTGTGCAGCCACAACGTGGAATGTTATTTTCCCACTTTGAGACATTTTGCCAGGAATAATTTAAAACAGGAAAGCTGAAATGAGTTTACAGTGAACAGCCGGGAAAGCATGGCCCAGCTCCTGCCGCTGTTCTGGTAGTTAGCAGCACATAAACTAGAGCGTGGCTCTCAGGCCCTCCGCGCGCTGCATGTTAAAACACCAGAGCCCCTCTGCCCGCGGAGCAAGGAAGTAGCTCGTGTGAGAGCTTCAAACACAGTTTATCCTTGCGCTGCGTGCCACCCTCCTTCCTCTCTGGGACATTGTCAGCTTCCCAACACGGTCTCACTCCCAGCCACTAGATCCAGGGCTGTTTTGCCCTCAGAGCACCACCCTTGCTGGGGCGTTGCTGGGTGCCTGTGCTGGGCCCACTGCCCCCTCTCAGTTCAGATCTGGTTGCTCGTTCACCCCAGAGGTGGTGTCCAGCAGAGCCCGGGGCTGTTGCCTATCTAGGGATCCTTAAAGCCCTGCACCCCAGCAGGACAGGTGAAGTCCTACCCTCAGACATCCCAGCCTCCTCCTGTGCTTCTTTATTTTCTTGGCAGCTCACATTACATCCAGAGCTCTGGAGGGAGCAGGCAGCCCTTAGCGACCCTTTTGCTTAAAAGGTGTTTTATTCTTCAGACTTTAAATGTGAATTCGGAAAAGCGAGGGTCAATTTGTTTCCTACCTAGAATGCTGCCTCTGGTCACTTGCACAGGAATGGGTCTCAAGACTAGACTGGTCAGCTTGTGCCTCTGCTGTAGTGTAGCACTCCTGGGATCAATGGGGGCAAGCAGAATGGCTCCAGGGTCTTTGACATCCTCTTCCCCACCTTGTCACTTTACCCCAGGAAAGTGGGAGCTAGGGTCATGACTTGCGGTGGCAAACTCAGTGCTCCCTTTTATCTGTCCTTCCCAAATTTCACTCAAGAAGTCTAGCAACTGTCAAGGCGAAAGTGCAAGAATAAGAAGGCGGGTGGGATCCACGGAAGCCAAGCCTGATTGCCGCAGGTGGCTGGGGAAAGCTGCTCCACACACAAACCCTGTCCAGCTCAGAGATAGGAAATCAAGGGCAGGAGGAGCAGTGACGGCAGTGCCCAGGTGCTGCCCTGCCTGTGCTCGGAACGGCTGCAGGAAGAGGCTGCTCTGCCCCGAAGACTCCCTCAGAGCATTTGCAGGTGAGCTGTTTGGCATCATTTCCTGGCTTGAAGAAGTGGCTTAAACACTTGCTAAGCTCTCAGTTAAATCATTCGTGGTTCAGAGCTCCCTCGACCCCTACAGTTCCCAGACCTCTATTCACCTTTGTGTCTGGTGTGTGCCTCTGAAACTGTGAGCCAAAGTAAACCTTAGTTCCTCATAATTGATACCTCAAGTGTTGTCACAGTAACAGGAAGCTGACTGAAAGGGGCCATGTGTTAAGAGCTTAGTCTCCAGCTTTGTGTCACAGTACAGTCGCTGGGGCGCGGCCTTGAAGGGGGCAGTGTATTCCAGGCCCCTTGCTTCCTTTTTCTTCCACCCCTGGCCATGAAATAAACCACTTTACCCCCACCCACTCTCCACACACATTTTTACTAGGATGCACTGCCTCCATGTGACAGAGCCAGGGGACTGGAATCTGCCAGACTGAAAGTCAAATAACCCTTGGTTGATTATCTTGGGTATTTGTTTCAGCCACAAAGAGCTAATTAGTGCAGTCCCTGTGCAAGGCCAGGGGGAAATCCTGTGCAGTGGACCCTCAGAGACCTGGGAGTGAATAAGACCCCCTCATCCACTCCCAGGGCCCCCTTTGATATGTTCTCTGGAACCAGAGAAACAAAACAGCTTTACTAGCCCCCTCCTCTGGGCTCCTCTGGGCTCTGCACCCTTTTCCACAGAGGAGCATCTGCTGTTTAGAATGCTTTGTACAAAGTAAGAGTCTTGATCCTTCTTTCTGTTACTAAGGAGGGAGATAATCCCTTTATTGTGACACCTCCAGTCATCCTTCAGACCATGATTGTGCAAAGAAGGAATTGAGAGTGTTACACACTGCACCGCATGCCACAAATCAGTGCTGTTGCCCTTATGTGCCCAAGTCTCATTCTGGTTTGCTGGCTCCGAGGCAGAAACAGCATGGCAGAAGTCTGTCTCTCTCTCTCTCTCTCTCTCTCTCTCTCTCTCTCTCTCTCTCTCTCTCTCTCTCTCCCTCTCTCTTTCTGTATCCCTCCTTCCCCCTTTTCTCTCTCCCCCTCTCTCTTCCTTTCCCTTTCTCTCCCACCCTTCTTCCCTTCTGCCAAGAGGAGATTTGCTCTGCCATGATCTCCCATCATGATGTTTTGTCTTTCCACAGGCTCGGAAGCACTGGCACAAACTCACCATGGACTGCAATCTCTGCAACTGAGCCAAAATAAAGCTTAATTCCTCATAATTGATATCTCAGGTGTGTCACAGTGGCAGGAAGCTGACTAAAACAGATGGACTGTGCTGCAGGGCCCCTTCCTGTGCCCTTGTGCATATGTAGTGGGCCCAGTGGTGATTACCCAGACTGCAGCCCCCAGCACACCCCAGAGGAGGGTAGCAGGATTAAAGTCGGTACTGTTGCAGCCCCGAGAGGGAGCTCCCTCTGACACCAATATAGAGATCATGGCTTTGCTTCTGTGTAAGAGGCTGTGTTCTGTGCAGGTGCTGAGGACATAAAGAGAAGGGGCATTGAGGCATGGTCTGTCTCTAGCAGTGCCAGCGTGCTGCAGAGGGGACACCTGGATTCCAGGAATCACAGTCTCTCCAATATCAGAAGCTGATGCATCCTCTACCACAGAGCAGCACTCAGAGTATACCCAGGAATATACCGACAGTGAGCACAGAGTGGTGAAAGGAGCCAAGTCATCCCCGAGGGAAAGGGGATGCGGCTCATTGCTGTGTTGGAAGCATGGTCCCCTGTGGAGGATGTGAGTTTTTAAGAGGTGGGAGGCCCCTGGACACTGCCCTGGAGAGGCTAGTTTACTAGGTGAGAGCATGCTGCCCTGGCCCAGCTCTGGCTTCTCCCTATCCTACCACAAGGGCTGTCCATGAGACCCTTGTCCAGGCCAAGCAAATGGAACTAATAGATCTGGGACTTTTGGCCTGTCACAATCTTTGTTCTTTTTTCCAAGCCTGAAGTATTTTGTTGAAGTAACAGAAAACAGGTGAGTGCAAAGAAGATCTAATGTCTTGCCTCAAACAGTACAAGGACAAATGCTTTTAGATGTATGTTCTAGGCCAGCACTGTCCATTGAAGATGTTACATGAGTCAATATGTTATTTTAAATTTTCATCAGCTAGATTAGAAAAGCAAATAGGTAAATTCTACTAATGTGTTCAACCCAATATATGGAAATATTACCATTTCAAATGTAACAGCATACAATATATTTACACTGAATATCACGTATTGCCACGCTATTTTCAGAATCTCATGTGCATTTGGTGCTCAGCCCATGTCCTCTCCTGGAGGAGCCACATTCCATGTGCTCAGTAATGACCCAGGGCCGACTTGCTGCATAGTGCAGATCTGGACATCTGAGAAAACCTTCAGCTATGATGTTCTGGCTGGTAATGTATAGGAAGATGTCTTGCAGTCAAAATCAGCAAACTCAGGAGTGCTGTTGTCATGGTGCTGGGACTGAAGTAAGGCCTTGTGCATGCTAGGCTGTCACTCTACCCCAGAGATGCATGCCCTGTCCTTAGCCTCACTATAAAAAGTTTGGTTGGGTTGGAAATTCAGACTCCCATGACAGGATGACATGCTGCTTCCAGTGAACCAACCCATCTGTCTAGCTGAACTATGATTGTGCCAACCCTATAATAACACTTTAGTCTGAAGACA